CCATTTGCCATGCAGTTAAAATACGTACAGAAAATGCCTGACACAGGGAAGGTGCACTCTAAGTGAGAGTTTATTTTTATTCTGCTTAGCCCCTGGCCCCCTCCCCAGCAAGAAAAATTTCTCCTGAGCTCCCCCAGCACTTCCTTCGTTCCCCAATCCTGAGAACTTGCAGCTTTATACTGTGGTTGTTTGTGTAATGCACAGGTATGTGTGTGTGTGTGTGTGTGTGTGTGTGTTTTCTTTGCTCCTGCTCCTGGCTGGGAGGAGTCTGGGGAGAGGTAGGTCTCCCAGGGCCTTTCTGAAGTCCAGGAATCCAAAAAGGGAATAGCATTTTGAACTCCATGAAGATGAAAAACTGAGGTGCACAGAGATAAAGAGACACACCCAGGCTCACACAGCGGGTGGATGGCCATCAGGGCATGAACCTAGGTCCACCCAGCTTGTTACTGCACAACATGTTCTGTGTGTGTGTGTGTGTGTGTGCATGCATGTGCATGTGCATGTGTGTGTGAGAGTGAGAGACACAGAGAGAGAATATGAGTCTATGTAGGAGAGATTTTGCCACATTATTAGCATGTTCCTTGGTGTTCTGGGGGTTCTGAGTTAAGGGATCCCATGTCCCCAGGTCCCACTCCTTCAGCAATGTGTATGATGCCTTCGATCTCTGTTCTTTTTAGGAGGCTGTGTTGACAGCCTGACCTCCCTGTCACTATTACCTTTGCAACCAAAGCAGAAGAGAGAGCTCTCGAGGGGAGAACTGCCACTGAGTTAAAAGCCAGGGGCAGCACGGGGCCCGAAGTAGGGAGAGGCAACAAGATGTCATGAAAAGGCAGCCTGGGCTCTGGATTTGCATCCTGTGTAACCTCGAGCAAGTTTACATGACCTCTTGCCTCAGTGTTCTCCTCTATAAAATGGGGCTACTGGTGCCTGCCTCAGTAAATTGTAAGCCTTCAAGGGGCTTCCCAGGTGGCACTAGTGGTAAAGAACCCACCTGCCAATGCAGGAGACATATGAGATGCAGGTTTGATCCCTGGGTCAGGAAGATCCCCTGGAGGAGGACATGGCAACCCACCCCAGTATTCTTGCTTGGGAAATCCCATGGACAGAGGAGCCTGGTGGGCTACAGCCCATGGGGTTGCAAAGAGTTGGATATGACTAAGCACACACCCACACAATGAGCCAATTAATGCCCTTGCTCTAGGGATAGAGTTGACTATAGGGCCCTATGGCAGCACAGAAGAGGGGCCTGTAAGCCATCCTGTGTGAAGGGCTCAGGAAGACATTGAAGGTCACACCTTAGCTAAATGTTGAAGAGTGAGCAGGAGGTCGCCAGGTTGGGGTAAAGGGGCAGAGGGTATATGAGGCAGAGGTCTGGTCAGGAGAACCATCCATGGTTATGGTGAGGAAGGAGGAAGGTGAGGTTATGGTGAGGTGAGGAAGCTAGAGGTTATCCTATGGATGATGATCCTGTAAAACATAAGTTAGATCATGGTCCTTCTCTGCTTATCGCAATCATAGCAAACATCAATGTCTTTATCGTGGGTTCACTGCCCTTCACAATTTGGCTCCCATTACCTCTCTGATCTCATCTCCCCTTGTTGACTCTGCCCTAGCTACACCGGCCTCCTGGCTGTTCCTCAAACATGCCAGGCACAGTTCTACCTCAGGGCCTTTGCACTGGCTCTACCCTCTGTCTGGACTGCTCTTGCCTCAGATAACCACACAGCTCGCTCCCTTACTTCTCTGATTATATGCCATTTATTCAAAAAGCCCTTCTCTGACTACCACATCTAAAACAGCACCTTTTATCACCCTGCTGTATTTTCCTTCCTAGCACTTCTCCCTGCCTGAAATGATAGTATATATTTATAGTCTTCTTCTCCCACTAGAATGTCACCTCCCTGAGGGAACAAAACTCACACGTCTTGCTCATGATTATATTTCCAGCACCTAGCACTGTTCCTGGCATGTAGAAAGGGCTCAATTGTCATTTGTTGAATGAGTTATGAGAAGCCATGGAAGGGTTTTAGTGGGGGAGCAGCATGGTCAGATTTCTACTTTGGAAAGCTCTCTCTAGCCACAGAATGGAGAGTGGATTGGGAAGAGGAGACTGGAGTTGAGGTCAGAGTTCAGGTGAGAGGATTTATTAGCCCAGCCACCAGAGCTCATTCACTGACTTCCTCCCTCCAGAAGCTTTTACTGAGCACCTACTCTGTTCCAGGCCTTGTGCTCTGTCCTAGTAGGGAGATTACCAAACTCTTCCTGTGCTGGGATTCTGGGAGTCAGGAACACAAACAGCTGTCATGCTTTGCCAAAGCTAACCTGCTACATAAAAAGAAGGACAGACATGTGCTGTGTGTGGGAGCCCTGAACAGGATCAGCCATCATTTCTAGCTGGAGGCAGGCTTCAGAAGGGCTTCTTAGTGGTGGCATATGACCTGACTCTTGATGGAACTAGGGTATGTGTGGGGGTTCTCAGATTGCAGATGGCAGAAGATGATAGGGACAGCATTCCAGGTGGAAAGTACTGTATGAGCAGTTGGGAAGGTGGAAAGGACAATGGGAGTATTGGGGAGAAACAGGATTTAGGCAAGGTTGGAGGGAAGAGTAGATGGGGTAGGGGGCTGGTAGCCAACTGCAGTGTGGCTTAATGTTTAAGAGTGTGAACTCTGGAGTCAGACTGCCTGGATTTGAATCCTGGCTCTATCATTAATAATTGTGTGACCATAGATATGTTATTAACCTTTCTGGGCCTCAATTTCTTTATGTGTAAAATGAAGATGATTAATAATACCTACCTCATAAGGTTGTTTTGAAGAGTAAGCAAGTTATTAAATGTGAAGCAGTAAGAATAGTAGCCTTGGTGGCTCAGATGGTAAAGAATTTACCTGCAATGTGGGAGACCTAGGTTCGATCCCTGGTTGGGGAAGATCTCCTGGAGGAGGAAATAGCAACCCACTCCAGTATACTTGCCTGGAGAATCCCATGGAGAGAGGAGCCTGGCGGGCTACAGTCCATAGCTTTGCCAAGAGTCAGACATGACTGAGTGGCTAAGCACAAGAATAGTGTCTTACTAAACAACAGAGGATAAGATGGTTGGATGGCATCACCGACTCAATGAACATGAGTTTGAGCAAAGTCTGGGAGATAGTGAAGGACAGGGAAGCCTGGCATGCTGCAGTCCATGGGATTGCAAAAAGTTGGACACGACTGAGTGACGGAACAACAACAAAACATTAGCTACCGTGTCTTGGAGAAGCCTCAAATGCCACAACAAGGACGTGGGCTATCTCTCTGTCTCTCTTTTTTTAATTGGAGGAATGCAAGTGGGAGCCATGGATGGTTTGTAACAAAGGAGCCAGTTGATCAAAACTGAGAGGCATGTGCTAGGAGGGGAGAGGTTTGAGAGGCTGGTGGGTGGGATCCTGCAGTCCTGAGGGGGAGAGAGGTGCATCTTAGATGCCTGGGGAGCACTGGGCTGGGTCTGACCCCTGAAGGGGGACTTCACAGACCCCAGAGGCCCAGGAGGAGAGAGCGTTTGGGGTTCACGGCAGTCGCTCAGTCTGTTTCCACCTTACTCCTTACAGTGTTGCAGATTTACAGTTGGGAGGGTCGGGGATGAGCAGTGGGCAGGAGCCCTCATTAGTCCTGAGCCAGCACCAATGTTGTACCCCACTGCCCCCAGCCCCTAAGCCCCCAGCCCAAAGTACTCTTCTATCAGGCTGGCAAGCCCATTGTAGCTCAAACTCCTGAAATGGTTGGGAGCCTCCCTACACCCACCCCAGCTTGCCCCCATTCTGGTCCTGTGCCCTGCCCTTTGTCAGGTAGGGGCCAGGGAATGGCCCCTTAACCCTTTCACTGGCCAAAAGCTCCAGTGCCTACCCAAACCAGACCACTCTCTGGGCCTCAGTCACACCCATTCCCCCCACAACCCCCTCCATACCTCTCCCTGCCTGTCCCCCCTCTCAAACCCCCTCCATTGTTCCCATCTCTGTGGCTCCTCACCGTGCCTGCCTGGGCTCAGGGCGCTGGGCTCTGTCGCCACCTGAGTTCCCTGGCAGCCTGGTTGCCATGGCACCATGGGAGCAGGTCTGACAGAACAACAGCTCTGGGTAACCAGGGCGGGCAAGACCCAGTGCCCTGCTCCTACCACTCTTCGCCCTTGTTCCCCTCCCCCGAGCTGAGCAGAGGAGGCCATGAGGAGAAAAAGGAAGTTGCCCCGCAGGGCAGCTCTTTACCTGTGAGAATGCTGGTGGGAGGCGCCTCCCACTGTCACTGAGCCTGGCAGCCAGGGGACACTGAGAACTGGCCAGGCCTGGAGCCCAGGCCTCTGGGGGCAGAGGTGGGGCTCTCGGGGGCAGGGCTGGGTGAGCAGGGGTGTAGGAGTAGGCTCAGGTCTAGGGACAGAGCTGATCTGGGATGGTGCTGGGGATCGGGCTGGGAGGGGAAGAGGTCTTGGCGGGGTAGGGATATAAGGGAACTGGTCCCTCAGGGGAGGGGGGACTTGGGGACAGAGCTGTTAGGGGCTAAGATGATTAGAAAAAGGAACTTGAGGGGTAGGAGTGGAAGGAAATGGGTCTGAGGATAAGGCTGTGAGGGGACCTGGCCATGAAGGGACCAGGCTGTAAGGGTAGAGTAGGACTTGGGACAAGACAGTGAGAAGACCTGGCTGGAGGGAAAGGAGTCTGAAAGGATGGAGCTATGAAGGGGTGGGGATCTGTGAGGGGGGAGAGGGCATTTGAGGATGGAGCTATGAGGGGACAGGGCTGAAGGGGAGGGGACGGGGCTGAAGGGGAAGGGATAGGACTGTGAGGGGAATAAGAAGACAACTTTGGGGGTAGGGCTCTCCTCTGGCCTTTAAGTATTGGGGTCTCTGTTTCTGTGAGGAGGCTGGGGAGGATGGTGCTGTGGGAAGGGATCTGGTCCACCTACTCTCAGTCTGGCCCAGTAGGCCTGTCTCCTGTTCCCACATCCTGGCTCATCTTATCTCATCCCCACAGTGTGGAGGGTGATGCCCCAGGCAGTGACCTGAGCACAGCGGTTGATAGTCCTGGGAGCCAACCCCCCTACCGGCTGAGCCAGCTTCCCCCCACCAGCAGCCACATGGGGGGCCCCCCTGCTGGGGTGGGCCTTCCCTGGGCTCAGCGGGCGCGCCTCCAGCCAGCCAGTGTTGCCCTGAGGAAGCAGGAGGAGGAGGAGATAAAGCGCTCAAAGGCCCTGTCGGACAGCTATGAACTCTCCACGGACCTGCAGGACAAGAAGGTACCCAAGAGATGGCTCTGGTCGGGGATGGGGGTGCCGGTGGGGATGGGGGAGTGAGAGGACCAAGGGAGAAATTGGAATGTGGTGCTCGAAGGTCATGTCCAGGGAGGGATGGTGAGACTGGAATGGAAGAAGAACCCTTCACCTGACTGGAACCTCACTGACCCATTCACCATCCATGCACTGAGTCTTGTATTCACTCAGCAAACATTTAGTGAGCTCCATGCTGGGCTGGAGATGTGTAGATAAAAGACCAAGTCCTAAATAATCTCAGTATAAGGGGAGAAGCACACATGTAAGTTGACAAATACAGAACACTGTTTTCCAGTATATCACATGTATGACACAAGATATTGTTTACCCAAAAGGGGGGCACAAAATACTATGTACAGAAGTAAAAAAATTGGAAGGACATATCCCAACATGTAATTGTGATTATGCCTAGGTGTTGGGAGTTTAGGTGAAGCAACTTTCTTTCCTTCCTCCTTCCCTTTTTCCCTTCCTTCCTCTCTCTTTCTCTCTCTTCTCTTTCTCCTTCTTGCCTTCAATTTATGTCTTCCTTTCTTTCTTGTCTTAGCTTCTCTGTTTCTTTTCCTTTTTAATAGTGAACATCTACTTTTTGTAAATAAAAAAAAAAACACAATTCAGTCCCGTGTGACATGTGCTATCCGATATTAAAGTGAGAACACCACACAGACCCCAGCCTGGTGCATCCAGGCAGCTGTAAGCAGTTAGCTATGACTCGGTTGGTGGTGTGGCTGAGGCCCAGGGAGATGAGGAGGCTGTCGTGAATTTCTGACTTTGTTCCCCTCCACCCTCCCCTGCCAGGTGGAAATGCTGGAGAGGAAGTATGGGGGCTCCTTCCTGAGCCGCAGGGCCGCCAGGACCATCCAGACGGCCTTCCGCCAGTACCGCATGAACAAGAACTTTGAGCGGCTCCGCAGCTCAGCTTCAGAGAGTCGCATGTCCCGCCGCATCATCCTTTCCAACATGCGGATGCAGTTCTCCTTTGAGGAATATGAGAAGGCACAGAACCCCGCGTACTTCGAGGGCAAGCCTGCCTCGCTGGACGAGGGTGCCATGGCTGGGGCCCGGAGCCACCGGCTTGAACGGGGGCTCCCATATGGCGGCTCCTGCGGAGGGGGCATCGATGGTGGGGGAAGCTCCGTCACCACATCTGGAGAGTTTTCTAATGACATCACGGAGCTTGAGGACTCCTTCTCCAAACAGGTCAGCATCCCTGAAAAGGACCTTTCCTATCCCTCTCCAAGCTCTGGCTACTACTACAACCTTTTACCTGTACTTCAAAGAAGTTGCCCAACAAGTTGTTGTTTTGATAACAACAAATAGCTACCATCTGAGTAGGGACTGTGAGGGTGATGAGAAAGGATTGGCAAGAGAAAAATTATGTTGTTCAAACAAGCAAGTTCTCACTATAGAACATGAGCCACTATCAGATTAAGGCCTAACTAACAGCTCCTACGCTATATCAGCCTTCGAGACTAGGGGTGCTATCCTGGTTTTACAGAGGAGGAAACTGAGACTCCACAACCCTGAGAGGTGACGTGACTTTTCCAAATTGGATTGGGACTCAGCTCTGTCTGGTCCCAAAGCTTTCCCTTATACCACATGATCGAGGACCAGGCTCTGTGCTGGGTGCTGTGGGGGAGACAGATGAACTGGCCAGGATTCTTTTTCTCAAGGATCTCCCCAAGCAAGCAGGAAATAGCAGGCACATGTGCACAGGACTGTTTCCTGAAAGAGTGTGCTCAGAGCCGTGAGAAGAGATCCCATATAGTGCTGTGGGAACCCAGAGGAGGGAAAGGAAATTTTCTTCTGGGAGGACGAGAGCAGGCTTCTTTGAAAAAACAGCACTGGAGCTGGGCCTTAGCAGGCAGCGAAGAGTTAGCAAGTTAGAGACAGTCAGAAGGGTGTTGCTTGCATAAGCATTGCATCAGCAAAAGCAGGGAAGTGTGGGAATGTAAGCAGCAGTGATAGTGGTGGGAGATCATTCTAGGCTTGGAGTGTGTCAGCACAGCTGATCAGGTGCAAATCCCAGTTCTGCCATTTCCCAGCTATATGACCGTGGGCAAACTGGTTAACTCCACTGAAACATGATCAATAACGTGAAGATAAAACCATCTTTTTAGAGCTGTTTGGAAGGTTGAGTTCAACTCGGTAATATATCTGAAAGCACCTAGTATATGGCATTTGCTAAGTACATGTTAGTTTCCTTCCTAAAACCAAAAAGATATTTGGTAAAAATTGTTGAATGAATTAATGAAAGTGTATAAGAGAAGAAATCATTCTGCTCTAACCTCTGTGATCTGGCCCTGCCCTAAGCTTGGTCATGCTTCCCTGGAGTTAGTGATGGAGTTGGGAGAGGAGGCAGGTAGAAGACAGGAAAGAAGTATTAAAGGGAAGATCTAAATCACTCCTTTATGCATTCATATGACACATTTAATTGAACATCTCTTCTGTGTCAATCAGTGTGTCAAGCTGAGCTAAAAAGAGAGAAACCCAGCCTGGACCCATCCCTCAACTACTGGCCTCATAGTCTGGTGGGGAGATTGAAGAACCAGGCCTGGGCCTACCTCTCAGTGCTATTCAAGTCTAATGGGGAGGTATCTATTGCTGCATAACAAATGATCCCAAAATTTAGTAGCTTAAAACTGAATGTAAAGACTGAGCTTAAACAATAGTTATTATCCCATATAGTTTCTGAGGGCCAGGAATCTTTGGGTGGCTTGGCTGGTGGCTCTCACATAGGGTCTGTCATGAGGCTCTGATCAAGTTATAGGGTGGGACTGTAGTCTCTAAAGGCCTGACTGGGGTTGATGGGTCTGCTTCCAAGCTCACTCATTTGGCTGTTGGCAGGAGGATTCAGGGCCTTACCACGTGGGCCTCTCTGCAAGACTGCTCACAGTGTGAGCAGAGCGAGGGATCTGAGAGAGGGAGCACAAGCAAATGAGAGTACTCAGGATAGAAGCTGCAGTCTTTCTTAACCTAATCTCAGAAGTGACATCCCATCACATTTGCCAGATGCTGCCGGTCCCACAGACCAACCCTGGGACACTGTGGTACATGAGGGTGTGAATAGCAGGAGGCGGGGGTCATTAGGGACCAGTTGGGAGGCTAGATACCAGAGTGAGGCCAGCTTCAGTCCAGATTCTCAAGGCTAAATATCATGGATTTCCTAAGAGAGAACCAGACAGAGGGCTCCGGGAGCCCAGAGAGGCAGCTGGGATTTTGGTTTACCCTAAGGAAAGGCAGAGGCAGGAATGTGTCTTGGGAGCAGTGAGGAGGCGGCATTTGGCTTGGGTCTATATGGACATGAAGAAGGTATTGGGATATCTGAGAAGGGAACTTGTGGGCATAAGTTCCAGCTCCTGTGAGCTCACAATGGCTCCCTGGGAGTTATGTCCTGCAGAAAATCTGGGGAGGTGGGGGAAGGGAAGCCCTTTTATGGCCGCCTCACCAGGAAGAGTCCCCCACTTTTTCTTTCCCTCCCTTCCTTGTTCCCACCCTTTCACCATCCCACTGCCCTTCATCTTTCCCTCCTTTTTCTCCTTTCCCCTCCACCTCAGGTAAAGTCTCTGGCTGAATCCATTGACGAGGCCTTGAACTGCCACCCATCGGGGCCCATGTCTGAGGAACCAGGGTCAGCCCAGCTGGAGAAGCGAGAGTCAAAGGAACAGCAAGAGGACAGCTCGGCCACATCCTTCAGTGACCTTCCCCTCTACTTGGATGACCCAGTTCCCCCACCATCCCCTGAACGACTGCCTAGCACAGAGCCCCCTGCCCAGGGCAGGCCTGAGTTCTGGGCACCAGCCCCTCTCCCTCCAGTTCCTCCACCAGTGCCAGCAGGGTCCCGGGAAGATGGTAGCCGTGAGGAAGGCACTCGCAGGGGTCCTGGGTGCTTGGAATGTCGGGATTTCCGGCTGCGGGCTGCCCACCTGCCCCTGCTTACCATTGAACCTCCCAGTGACAGCTCCGTGGACCTGAGTGACCGCTCAGATCGCGGCTCTGTCCACCGTCAGCTTGTGTATGAGGCTGATGGCTGCAGCCCCCATGGGACCCTGAAGCACAAAGGGCCACCAGGCAGGGCCCCAATCCCCCACCGCCACTACCCGGCCCCGGAGGGCCCAGCCCCAGCCCCGCCAGGGCCCCTACCACCAGCCCCCAACAGTGGCACTGGGCCCAGTGGTGTGGCTGGGGGTCGGAGGTTGGGGAAGTGCGAGGCAGCAGGCGAGAACTCTGATGGTGGCGATAACGAGAGCCTTGAGAGCTCCAGCAATTCCAACGAGACCATCAACTGCAGCTCTGGCTCCTCTTCGCGGGACAGCCTGAGGGAGCCTCCAGCCACCGGCCTGTGCAAGCAGACCTACCAGCGGGAGACTAGGCACAGCTGGGACTCACCAGCCTTCAACAACGATGTGGTGCAGAGGCGGCACTACCGAATTGGCCTCAACCTGTTCAATAAGTACGTGTTCCCATTCCTACCTTGTTGCCCCTACTGACCCTGCTGCAGGCACTTAGACTCCTGGAGGCAGTGATCCTGCTGCTGCCATCCTTCCACTTTGTGGATGGCGTTTCTCTCTAGCTGTTCAGGGAAAAGAATTGGCAACAGGGTGACAAGAATGGAAAGCTGCCCCCACACCCATGAAAGGCAGTTGTGGTCCTGGTTCTGCTTCTGACTGTGTCGTCTTGGGTGAGATGCTTTCCTCTCTGGCCCTAGTTCTGTCTATATAGGATGGATTCTGAACCTTGGGTCTCCCACCTTCCCTTTTTGGTTAGGCTATCCCTTTGGGATAGCCGATGTTGTATATGAAGAACCCTGCTCTCAGAAACAGGAGACTTGGGCCAGACTCACTGGGTAGCCCTGAGCAAGGTGTGTCCCTTCCTTGAGCTTCAGTGTTTCTATCAATAAACTAGCAGTATATGGATGTTTGAGATGTTGGGGGCAGGGTGCTGTGCTGGACTAGTCAGTGACCAGGACTGAGTTCTTTCTAGGTACCTAGTCTTGTGCCAGGTGCTTAGCAGTGAAATACGAGTGTGACACTTGATTAGAAAACAAATGCCTTACATCTTTATAGCCTACTAGACATGGCCATCTGTATTTAGTTCTCATGATAACTCAGCAAGGTGGGTAGTCGTGTCCCTATTTTATAGAGAAGGAACTGAGGCTTGGAGAACTAAAGGGAATTGTTGCAATTCATGCATGGTAAGTAATGGATCTGAGACTCCATCTGTGGCACCAAAGTCTCCCAAATTCTAGCCTCATGAGGCCCTAAGGCTCTGGGGTTCTGAATATGGGATAGCTCAGACCCAGATATGGAAAGTAGGGAGCAGCTGATCTATAGAAACACTCACAGAGGCTTGGTGGTGCCTGCCTGAGTGGGATGTGGAAAAAGTAATCTTTTTACTACTTTCCTACTCCAAGGGCCTGTGATGCGGAGAGAAGGACTTAGCCTGGAACTCAGGCCTTCTCCCAGGACTCCTTAGTGCCTGTGGAGAATATCAAAGCTCCTGGCACAGAACAGGCTCTCATCAGATCTTAACTTTCTTTCAATTGTAATGTGGTTCCAGTGATGGAGGAAGTTGAGTTGAAGATACCTTGGAATTTTTGAATCTCTGTGAAATGGGAAAGTGGCTTCTTTCCCTTGGGCCTCAGTTTTCTTATGTGTACCATGAAGGGAGTGGACCACATGAAGGGAGTGGACCTTCTTGGCTCTCTGAGGCCATGGTTGGGCCCAAAATTAGTTCAAGATATAAGGCAGGGGGCAGAGTTCCAGGAGGATTGTCATCTCATCTCTCTCCCCTCTTTCTGCAGGAAGCCAGAGAAGGGTATCCAGTATCTGATTGAGCGGGGCTTCCTGTCAGACACGCCGGTGGGAGTGGCTCACTTCATCCTGGAACGGAAAGGCCTGAGCCGGCAGATGATAGGGGAATTCCTAGGGAACCGGCAGAAGCAGTTCAACAGAGATGTGTTGGAGTGAGGACCCCAGGCTGGGACAGACTAGGCCAGGGGTTCTTGGAAAAGGAGGGCAGGAGGGAGATAAACTTTGCAAAACAGGATGAATAGACCTCCTGCTCCCATACCTCTCCGCCCTAAAGAGATCTGATCTCTCTTGGCGTTAGTCCTAAAGTCTCTGGGTGGCCCCAGGCAAGGCATGCTTGTCCTATGACCTGCTTTGAGCCTCAGTTTTCCCATCCCTGATATCAGTGGGTTGATGGAACAGACCCTTAGCAACCATGTGTCTTGCCTAAATTTTCTGGGATGGGTTCCATTTCAAACATTCTATCCTCATTTGGGCTTCCCTGGTGGCTCAGCTGGTAAAGAATCTGCCTGCGATGTGGGAGACCTGAGTTCGATCCTTGAGTTGGGAAGATCCCCTGGAGAAGGGGACAGCTACCCACTCCAGTATCCTGGCCTGGAGAATTCCATGGATGTACACTCCATGGGGTTGCAAAGAGTCAGACATGACTGAGCAACTTCCACTTTCATCCTCATAAGTATTTGCTTGGGCCACAGGTTCAGATTTTGGAAGTCTATCAGTGGGGGATTTGGTACATTGGAGCAGGTCAGGGTGGGTCAGAGGTTCTTTGCAGAGGAATTGAGAGTGCCACACCCCCTTCTCTGCTCCTCAGCTGTGTGGTGGATGAAATGGACTTCTCCTCCATGGATTTGGATGATGCGCTCCGGAAGTTCCAATCCCACATCCGGGTTCAGGGTGAGGCCCAGAAAGTGGAACGACTCATCGAAGCCTTCAGGTGTGCCCACTTCCCAGTACTAAAGCTGCCTTTCTCTGCTTTGGGGGGCAGTGTAGGATGGGTCTATGAGTCATCTCTCTGAGCCTCATACTTTCTGAACTAGAAATTGGAAATTATAAATCCTATATTGCAAGGCAGTTGTGACAATTAGAGGTAATGTACCTAAAGTATCCAGCTTAGCATCTGGGACATGGGCATCTAATAAGTGACAACAGCATCAGCAACAACAACTCATGTTCCCTGAGCTGATACCATACTCATCAGGTGTTGATTGGGTTACTGAGCTGGACACTTTACATGATTATTTCAGTGAATATTCCCAACAACCTGGTGAGGTAGGTGCTTCTCTTATTATTCTCATTTTGCAGATGAGAAATCAGAAGTTTAGAGAGGCTGAGTAACTTGTCCAGAGTCATATGGTGAATAAGCAGTGGAACCAGAATTTCTACTCATGTGTCTGGTTCCATGACCTGTGCTCTTAACTGTTATCTTCCTCCATAAATGCTGCAGGGATCAGGCATCAGACCTGGTTATAAGCCCTGACTCTACCACTTTGGGGTATTTAGAAGAGAAATAGAAGAGTTACTGGGAACTTGTTTTCTGACATGGGAGGATTTGCTTTGTAGTCAGAAAGATCTAGATTTTCACCCTGGTTTCACCATTCATCAGCTCTATTATCCTAGACACTGAAGGCCACTTTGGGCTTCAGTCACTTCATCTGTAAAATGGGGCTGCAAAACTATGATGGGATTACAGAAGATGACATACATAAATCCCCTGGCAAAGCTCCATGAAAGGTAGCTGTTGAGATTTTTACATGCTAATCTTGAGGAAAGTCTGAAGAAAGAGGAGAGACCCAAAGGGTTTGGGAGTATGTCTTGGAGGAGAGAATTGGTGGTGCCAGATGGGAGGATGGTGGGTAGGCGGAGATTACTGGTGCCTGACCCTGGCCCTGACCCCTCCTGCCCTGCAGCCAGCGGTACTGTGTGTGTAACCCAGCCCTCGTGCGCCAGTTCCGGAATCCAGACACCATTTTCATCCTTGCTTTTGCCATCATCCTCCTCAATACTGACATGTACAGTCCCAGCGTCAAGGCTGAACGCAAGATGAAACTAGATGACTTCATCAAGAACCTGAGAGGTACCTCAGAGCTTCCCATCAGCTATTCCTGTCTTTCACCTGGGAAGGGAAAGTGGGCCAGGTGGCAGGGGTGGGAAGGAAGAGGGAGATCACACCTACTTCCTGAAAATTTAACCTCACTTTCTGCCAAGGCTAGATGTTCCCATAGCATTTACTTGTTAAATCACTCAAATCGTCATTTGTCTGTCCATTCATCCCCACACTGAATATTGACTGAACGGGAGGTAAAATCCGTGACTTTTATGGAACTTACACTGATTCACTCATTGCTCCCTGTTTCCCTCTCTTGTTTGCCCATAAAGACTTATTTATTTTAGGTGCCTTTTCCTCCACTCATACATTCATTTATTCATTCATCAATCAGCCAGCCAGGCAGTTGACACTGAGTGCCTCATATGTGCCAGTCCCTATGATAGGTGCTAAGGACCATGGAGGGGCATCTGCCACAGTCCCTGCCCCAAGAGGGCTCCCAGTTTGTGCACGAGAGACTGACTTGTAGTACCAGATACCCAGCACAAGACAGGAAACGGACTGTGATGTCAGACAGGACAGAAGTATATTCAGAGCTCAGGGAAGAGAGATAATATGACCAAACAGTGATAGAGGAGGCTTACCTAGCAGTAAGAATAACAAAGGCACAGGGGTAGGAAAACAAAGTTGCTTGGAGAACAATCGAGAGGAGGCGGACAATCTAGTAAGGAAGGTCAGTTAGAACCTGTTTCCAGGGGCCTTGACGTGCCAGATGAAAGGTGTCCCCTTGACTTTTTTTCTTGGTTTATTGTATTGATGTCAAGCCCTGCCTCTCACCAAAGAGCAGCCTACTAGAAATGGCACAGATGTTAGGATTATTTAAACAGAAAGGAAAGAGGGAAGTATAATTGAGGAAAAACAAACAGACAAGACAGATTTGCTAACTGTCAGGGGTTTGCATCATTGGGCTCTTAAGCTGTCTGACTGCTGAGGTAAAAAGGCGGTGTGATGAAGGCTGTTTATTTAGTACCTGGTGTCCAAGGAGGAGGCTTGGCATTTCCTAAGGAGAAAACATTTTCTTTAGCAGAAGGTTTTTGTCAGAGGAGTGAGTGGGTTTTGCTCAGCAGACAATCAGAAGGATGGTAGACTTCAAAGGAGGGAGTAAGACAGACCAGAGGCCATCTGGAGCTGTCTCCCAGGATCCTGCCATTAGTCATTCATTCGTTCATTCACTCATTTCATCCATTCTCCCTTCTCCCCTCCTTGTCTGTGTGTATTTATATATGTGTATATATGTACATGTGTATATATGTACATGTGTGTATACATATACACACATGTATATATTTTATATGTGTACATATATATTGTATATGTACAATATATTTTTATATGTACATATATTGTATATGTGTATATCTTCACCCTCCAATTATTAAATATGCAAACGAAATGAATTCCTGTTCATTCCAAAAATTTTATAAATATAGAAGTTATTAAAAATTTTAACCATCCAAAATTCTGTCCCCTAGAGGCAACTATGGTTGATATTTTGGTGTATTCTAGTCTTTTTTTTTCCTATGCACATTTAACTATGGGCTCCCCTAGTGGCTTAGTGGTAAAGAATCTGCCTGTAATGCAGGAGATGCGGGTTTGATTACTGAGTCTGGAAGATCATCTGGAGAAGGAAATGGCAACACACTCCAGTGTTCTTGCCTGGAGAACCCCACGGACAGAGGAACCTGGTGGGCTACAGTCCATGGAGTTGTGAAAAGAATGAGACACAACTTAGAGACTACAGTAACAGCAACAACAATTCATGAAAATGGAATATCTCTCCATTTATTTGACTTAGTGACTAAACAACAGCAACAAGTGTAACTATACAGTTAAGATCAGGTTGTACAAGCAATTTATTATCTTGCTTTTTTTTTCACTTGCTATAGGAATTTTCTTACAATTTTTTCTATAAACATCAGATTTTTAACAGCTATAAATTATTTTATGAAATGGATATATTCAGCTTTACTTCAGTATTCCTTGGCTGTTAGAACTTAGATTGTTTGAAATTTTTATCATAAGCTGCACTTATACACATATCTTTGCACATATTTCTGAGTAATTCCTTACAGTGGGTTCCTAGAAGAGGAATCACTGAATAGTGAGGCTTGCCAAATTACCTTCTGAAACAGTTATGTTAGTATATATGCCCGCTTCCATGAACTCTTACTAATACTGGATATTATCATTTAACATTATTTTTGTTAGTTAGAAAGGCCAAAAAAAAGTGTCATCGTTTTAATCACACTGTGCTCTGAGTTGTTAGACAGAATTCCCGTCCTGGGGAAGAAAGCAATTGACTCTTCTGGCCTGATCCTGGCCAAGGGACCAAGGGTGGCTGTTTCCTCCAGTCCTGGCCATCATTACAGCCCACGCCTGGGTGTGGAGGGTTGTGGAAAATCCCTGCCACCCACTCCCTACATGTATACTATATATTCCTGTGTATTCCCTCCACCAGGGGTTGACAACGGTGAAGACATCCCCCGAGACCTCCTAGTGGGTATTTACCAGCGCATCCAGGGACGCGAACTGCGGACCAACGATGACCATGTGTCCCAAGTGCAGGCCGTGGAGCGCATGATTGTAGGCAAGAAACCAGTAAGTGCCTTGGGAGGCTGAAGAAGGGACAGGGTTGGGGAGGTGAGTCCATGCTCCTCTGAGCCCCAGGCTCCCCTCAGCTGCTGAATGGAGGGGGTGGTGATGCATTCCTCAGGAGTGGTGGGCAGCTTGAGTGGGATGCTCTGTGGGAATGGGTCTGGCGCATGGCAAGGCACATCATGGATGCTGTGTAAATATTAACATGCTTCTCACCTCTGGTTTGGCTGGTCCATCCCAAGTGAGCAGCCAAGATAATAGCTGATGACCGAGCCACGAACATACTCTAGTCTTTTAGACAACAAACATTTACAGATGCCTTTCCACTGAGCCTAGCATTTCAGCTGGCACTGGGGACACAGGTACAAATAAGATATGGTCTTTGTCCTTGGCAGCACAGACCAGGGTGGGGAGGTGTCAGACAAAAACTCAATACCTCCACCTTATAGTTAGGTTAATTTAAGGGGAGCACATGGGAGGGAGAGGTCATTTTCAGCCCAGTGAGATTAGGAATGGCTTCTTGGAAAAGAGAACACTGGAACTGGGGTTTGGAGGAGGGGTGGAATGTGGCCATAGGGAGCTGAGCAAGGAAAGCATTCCAGACAGAGGGAGCTACAGGGACAAAGATAAGCCTAGGCTTAGTTGCTTAGATTCCTTGTATCAGAGTGACAGTGATATATACCAGAAGTGAACTTACTCTTGCAGTTAATATTAAGATGCCTGAAGCTGGTGGGCTGGCCTTGCGGACATCTATTTCTTCATGCCTATCTAGGTCCTATCTCTTCCTCACCGTCGACTGGTTTGCTGCTGCCAGCTCTATGAGGTGCCAGATCCAAACCGCCCACAGAGGCTAGGGTTGCATCAGCGGGAGGTCTTCCTCTTCAACGACCTCCTTGTGGTATGCGCATTGAGGGGAGGAGAAGGAGGGAAGTGGTGAGCTTGGACTCTGGGTGGGGTATAAACCATTAACATTGGTGGGTGGAGACATGGTGGGTAAGTAGCTCTGCCATGTGATCTGGGTGCCTCTGCCCCTCCTTTACCTCACCATTTGGAGGATCCATTTGGAGGTAGTGACAGCCACAGGGGGACAGAAAAGGTGAGGACCAGGGCAGATAACAGGCTTACAATCTGGGAAGTGGTAGAAAAAGTCCACGCCCACCTTAACAACCCAGTAGGTTGACTGGAGGAAGTGAACCTGTGACCCTGGAGTCGGTCTGAGACCTTCTGGTGGTTGGGATGCTTGAAGTAATTCTTAAAACCGAGCTCATCACCAGTGTAGACATATGTCTTTTAGAACTAGGACTCTTAGGACTCTGCAGATGGGAAGGGAAATTCCGGGTCCTGTCCAACCTCTTATCCCAGGCAAGAGTCAGATTCCCGCATGGTCCTCTGTTTGCATGAGTGCAGCACAGAAGGCTGCCTTCCTCCAAGGGAGCCAGTTTTCTGTTCGGACAGCTCTGACTGCTAGAATCTGTCTCCCAGTGGGTTTCCTCCAATAATCTTCACTCAACCCTTGGGATCCCAGAGAATGAGTGTTCTCCCTCTGCTCTGAGACAGCTCCTCAGGGGTTTGAGGACAGTGACCTGTCCTCCCTTGGTGTTCTCTCCTTTAGAGCAGGTTTCTTAACCTCGGGACTATTGACATCTGGGGTGGATATGGGATAACTCTGTTGTGAGAACTGTCCTGTACATTGTAGCATGTTTAGCGGCACCCCTGGTTTCTATCTACTAGATAGCAGTAGCACTCAAACTAAAAATGTCCTCTAGGGGGCAAAGTCACCTCTAGTTGAGAATTGCTGCTTTGGATAAAGCTCCTCCAGTGCCCTCTCTGAGCTTTTATTTCCTCTTCTGTGAAGTGGAGCTAATCCCCAGCTCAGGGTTGTCATGGGGGTGAAATAACACGTCAGATGTGGACTAGCCTAACCCAGAGGAGGGCCTCGCCCACATAGGTATTGAGTAAATGTTTCACCATCCATTGTGCACTGACACCTGTGGGTGCCCAGCCCCATACTAGGCACTGGGTTCCCAGAGATGAGGGAGACTCAGTCCTTGTTCTCTCACAATCCAAAGGGCTAAAAAGATGCTTTGCATAAGTGTGTACCATAACCATCCTGAAATCAAATAATGTGCTTTTAAATGCCACTTGCAGATGGTCTGAGATGTTTCCAATCCATGTTAGCTGAGTCTAGAACACTCGAGTACTTGATAAAGACCTTGGGTTGTTGAGAAGAAGACTCATTAACTCTACAAATTGGTTTACTGTAGATTTCCAATGTGCACTGGGTCTGGCCCAGATGGGCAAGATAGACTCCTCCTGGTGTTTCCAGTTCAGCAGTCACACACTCATAGCACTTTCCTCAAGCCTAATGGTGAAAGGCACTGAACCAGCACTCTAGAAGCTCAGAAAATGGTGGCAGGGGGACTCTATGTGTGGTATTAGAAGAGGCTTCCTGGGGGGAGCAGCATTCAGTTAGTTCCTATAAAAATCGTGAATGCCTGTTGCACATCATCATTACATCAGGAAATTGCATTTCTCTCCCGTCTCTCCTGTTCTGCTCCACCAAGCTTCAATTCTCCCCAACTTGTGGGTATGTGTGTTTGTGTGTATATGTCTGTTAGTGGTGGTGGTGGTGGGGTAGGGAGTAGGCAGTAACAAGCAATAGATGCCATGGGAAATTCCCCACCCCAAACCCTGCCTCTTGTCTTTTTCCCACCCCTGCCAAAGGTCACCAAAATTTTCCAGAAGAAGAAGATCTTGGTGACATACAGTTTCCGTCAGTCCTTTCCCCTCGTGGAAATGCACATGCAGCTCTTCCAGAATTCATGTGAGTCCCTTCTTGGATCCCAGCATCCCAAGAGTCTTTGCCGTGGCCCTCATGCTCATCCTTCCTCCACACCAGCCTCCAGTTTTGGGACTCCTTTACAACAGGGCTGAGGTCTCCAAAGCACTTCCTTGGTCCCAGGATGGAAGGCAGGGCAGGGTGGAGTATGACTTGGGTCTGTGCCCTGGGGAGCTCATAATCTGGCAGAGAACTGCAGCATGTATGTTTTCTGATGGGCTAAAGTGATGGTGACCACGCCACGCATTGAAGGACTAAGCCAGAGGAGCTTTGATGGGTGGCTTCTGGGCATTAGAAGCAGTGTGAGTAGAGTCAGAGAGGTGAAGGAAGGGGTTCTAGAGAACAGCTAGAGTTCAGCCTGCCTTTCCATCCTGGGGCATAGGGAATACCATGACTACCAGGAGTCTGGGGGCTTTGGAACAAAGGGGGCCCACTGATGATGCCCATGCAGAGATGGACATGAGAAAAGTTATTTCACATATGAGCCACCTTGCCTCAGACAGAGGTGCCTGACCTTCCCCTTCCCAACAGATTACCAGTTTGGGATCAAGTTGCTGTCTGCAGTACCTGGTGGGGAGCGCAAAGTCCTCATCATCTTCAATGCCCCCAGCCTCCAGGATCGACTGCGCTTCACATCTGACCTCCGAGAATCCATCGCTGAGGTGCAGGAGATGGAGAAATACCGTGTGGAGTGTGAGTAATCCAGCCACATCTCCTTCTCCGACTAATACAGTGCCTTGCAGACACTAAGAATCCTGTCCTCTGAGAAACTCAGAGTTGGGGGTTAGCTTGTCCAAACTCCCTACCCTCATTCCAGGAACCCTTCAGCCTCTGCTTGAATACCTTCAGTGACAAGAGGCTCATTACCTCTCAACCTCATTATTATTTCAAGCCCTAATTATGAGCCAGCACTTCCTTCTATTGAAAGGCAGCAGGGAGAAGAAGCAGGGTATTGGAGGTAGGACTTAGTTTCAGATGCCAGGCATGCTACTTATTATCTGGGTAAACTGGGGAAAGGTACCTGACTCTCTGAGCCCCAGTTTTTTCATACATGAAATTGGGGTGGTGAAATTTTCACAGAGTTGTGAAGATTCAATGAGATAAGGTGGAGGATGTGTCCTACATGTTCACAGGACATGAGTGTTGAACATCATTAGTGTCCAACTGATGTTACTCCCCTTCCCAGCCTCTCCTTTCCTCTTCCCACATTCTCGTTCCTGAACTGAGTCCTGATGACCCATCCTCCTGGCCTTCAGGGGCCACATCAAGTCATTCTGATCACATATAATAGAAAATAGTGATTGCATCTCATTCCTCCCAATGCCATCTAAGTTCTTTTCTCCAGGTTAAGTAACATGGTGTTAACTAGAAAGGCAGGCAGATAGACAGAGAGACAGAGAAAGAGATGTGGACTGCTCCTCAGTGAGGCCTTCACAGTTCTGGGGTCTGCTGTGCTCTTCAGCAAGGCAGGGTCATTCATTTATCTCACCAGATCCTTGAGACCCTGGGGATATTCAGAGAGAGGGTGAGCATGCCAGGAGGAGGGATGGGTGATCGATAGGAGTCTCTGTGACCTCCGCAGGGAGGCGGGAGTGTAACGCTGGAGAACATGAGCTCTGGACTCAGGAAGACCTGCTTCCAGAATGTCAGCTCCCCCACTTCCAGACTTGCCCTGGGCAAGCTCTGTGACTTCTCAGATTCTCAGTTTCTTCCTCTGGAAACTGTGGCTGCTAATGCTTACCTCTGAACTGGTATAAGGATTGAGAGAGACTGAGTAAGCATAGCATCCAACACATGGCTGACACATAATAGAGAATTTGATTTCCGTTGGTTTCCTACTCCTGTCCTTGCAGGAGCCCTCTGCTCTGGAGCAAGGTATCTGAGAATGGAGCGGGCTCTGGAATGAGTGCCCTTTGCCATAGGCTCGAAGGGCCTTCCTGCCCCTCCTGGGAACAAAGCAGCCACTGTAAAGCTCTGTTTTGAAAGGTAGGGGTGGTTTGGGAGACCAGACAGGGGAGGGAGAAGCAAAGGGAGAGGAGCCAGAGGAGCAGGCACTAAGAGGGACAAGGGAAAGGGAAGACTGAGCCAGAGGAAATTGTGCGAGACGGGCTGGGCGCTGCAGCACTTAGGAGATGTAGCTGAGGTATTGCTGTCCAGGGGCCGAAGCAGGAGACCCGAGGACAGAGCAGGTGAGGAAGGGGAAGGCCCACAGAAGGATGGGGTCAGTCAGGTGGCTTCTCACTCCTGTCCCTGACCTTTGCCCCTTGTCTCCCCCACCGCCACCCAGCGGAGCTGGAAAAGCAGAAAGGTATGATGCGGCCTAACACCTCACAGCCAGGAGGGGCCAAGGACTCAGTGAACGGCACACTGGCCCGAAGCAGCCTGGAGGACACTTATGGGGCAGGCGATGGGCTCAAACGGGGTGCACTCAGCAGTTCCCTGCGAGACCTCTCAGATGCAGGCAAGTCTCCCGGGGCCCCTGTCCTGGCTGGGGAGCCATGGGACTGGGTGTCCTCTTCGCTTCCTATCACTGACTGCCAGCCTTCCTTACACTCACCACACGTGCACGCATCCTGCCTTCATCCAGAGTCCTAGGTGCCATGCCACAGGGGACCTGGGAGCTGGGTCAGCACAGGTGGAGCCCAGAGTTTGGGCCAGGGAGTGCGAATGGGGCCACTCAGCCCCTCTCTTTCGCTGCTCCACTTCTCCTCTCTTTCCTCTTCTGTCTCTCAGGCACCACCTTTCCTCCTCCTCCTCCATCTTTTCCTCCTCTCGCTCCTCCTTCTCTACCTCTCCTCCTCCCGACCTCCCCCTCTCCAACGGGGGAAAGGGAATAGGGGTGTCTGTCCCTGGGAGGGGCCCAGACCTGGTGCCCAGCTCTGGAGCCCAGCCGGGTGGGGAGGGGGGGTTGCTGCTCTGACGCTGGGCTCCTTGCTTGTGGGCGCAGGGAAGCGGGGGCGGCGTAACAGCGTGGGATCGCTGGACAGCACCATCGAAGTAAGTGCCAGCTCCTGCCCCACTCTCTGCATGAGCCCTGCCCTGCCACCCTGGCGCCCCAGAGGAGGAGGGGACCTGTTGCTTCCCCCTCTTCCCTGCCGGGAACCCTGCGGCTGCCTCTCCCAGCCAACCACTCTCTCAATCTGTCCTCAACTCTCTCTGTCCTCACTCTGCCTGTCTCTCAGTCTGTCTTCCACTCTCCCGAGCCCCCTCTCAACCCCAGGGCCGACTCCAAGTAGTGATGCTCTTGGAGTTGGGCCGAGAGAAGCTCTTACTTCCAAGTCCTGCTCTTTGAGCCTGACCAAGTCACTCTGTCTCTCTGGGCCTAACATGCTCCCTGCCTGCAAAATGGGGATGAGGAGAAGGTACTGCTAAATCTTCCTCTCCCAGCTGAAGCTCAGATGAGATAGTGGATGTGACAGCAGAGCTCTGCAAGCTGGGGGCGCTCCATGTACAAGTACAGGACCGTGACTTGGTTTCCATTATGCCGTGGAGGGGGGTCCTATCTCCCCAGCCCCCAGGGACCAGGGGGGTGGGGCTTAGGGTTGGGGGTTTAGGACATCTAGACCGGCCTGACTTCCACCCCTCCCCCCTTCCAGGGGTCTGTTATTAGCAGTCCACGCCCTCACCAGAGGATGCCACCTCCACCCCCACCCCCGCCGCCAGAGGAGTACAAGAGCCAGAGGCCCGTCTCCAACTCCTCATCCTTCCTGGGCTCCCTATTTGGAAGCAAGCGGGGCAAGGGGCCCTTCCAGATGCCACCGCCACCAACAGGCCAGGCCTCTGCCTCCTCTTCATCTGCTTCTTCCACCCACCACCACCACCACCACCACCACCACGGTCACAGCCATGGTGGCCTGGGGGTGCTGCCTGATGGGCAGTCCAAGCTCCAGGCCCTGCATGCCCAGTATTGCCAAGGACCAGGCCCGGCCCCGCCACCCTACCTGCCACCCCAGCAACCCCCTCTCCCCCCACCGCCTCAGCAGCCCCCGCCCCTGCCGCAGCTGGGCTCCATTCCACCACCTCCCGCTTCAGCTCCTCCTGTGGGGCCGCATCGCCACTTCCATGCCCATGGCCCAGTCCCAGGCCCCCAGCACTATACCTTGGGCCGGCCAGGCAGAGCTCCCAGGCGGGGGGCCGGAGGACACCCTCAGTTTGCTCCACATGGCCGCCACCCCCTGCACCAGCCCACCTCCCCCTTGCCCCTGTACAGTCCTGCCCCCCAGCACCCTCCAGCCCACAAACAGGGCCCCAAGCACTTCATCTTCAGCCACCACCCACAGATGATGCCAGCAGCGGGGGCCGCTGGGGGCCCTGGATCTCGGCCACCAGGGGGCTCCTACTCCCACCCCCACCACCCCCAGTCACCATTGTCACCGCACTCACCCATCCCACCCCACCCCTCCTACCCACCCCTGCCCCCACCTTCACCCCACACCCCACACTCGCCCCTGCCACCCACCTCCCCCCATGGCCCACTGCACGCCTCTGGGCCCCCCGGCACGGCCAACCCACCCACTGCAAACCCCAAGGCCAAGCCAAGCCGGATCAGCACCGTGGTCTGATGAATGGAGTGTGTGTGAGCTGGGGACTGGGAAGGTCTGGGGAATCTGCAGGAGAGGAACCTCTCTGCTTCCTCAGTTTTTCCAAAATATACATGCACACAGAAATCTCCTCCTCCCCACTTCTTCCCTGCCTCTGGACCCCTTCTCTAACCCCCAACAGTCTCCTTGGGGTTTCCTTCCAGATTTGAGACTCCTTGCCACTTGCAGCCTGTATGCAGGGCTCTTGAGCTCTGGGGAGTGGTGAGGACCTTTCAGAGATCCTCGTCCTCTTTTTCCCTCTCTTCACCCTCCCCTCTCCCTTTCCCCAGAGGTCTAGTTGGGTGGCCTCAGACCTCTGGGCCAGTGTGAGCTCCCCGTCAGCTCTGGCTGGTAGGGATGGGCAGGTGTTGAGAGCAATGAGGGTGAAGGCTTCCCCAGGGCACCTCTGGCCAAGTGGGGCTAGGAGGGGTCTCTGCAGTGTTGTGGCCAAACCCCAGCTGGCTCGGCCCTCTCTCTGACCTCAGGGCCTGGCCACACACTTCCAGGTGTCTCTCCACCTGCTGGAGGATGTGGGGTGTCAGTGCACTCGGTGAGTGGGCCCCCACATATGCTGGTCCCCAGGTGGAGCAGTGCTTCCTCTTTGTAGCCGATCTCTGCTCTCTGTCTAGTGGGCCCCAGCCCAGACCTCTTCAGCTTCAGGACCTTGCCTTTCCTTGCAAGGTTCTTATCCTGATCAAAGTCCAGACAGGTTTGGGGCGGGGGTGCTGAGGTCTGGGATGAGAAGGGCACAGCCCTCCCTCACCCATATTGCATGCCCCCCATTCCCTCACACCTACCCCACCTACAGCTGAAGACAGTGCACTTTACAGATACTGCCCACACACATCCCGCTGGGGCAGGGCACCCAGCGTCAGCCCTGGGGAGAGGGGCTCCCAGAGGGCCACCATGAGCCCGAGATGTCCTTCCTGAGGCAGAGATTGAAGCCATCAGAGTGGGGGCTGGGAGCCAGGATGCCTGAGTCCTTCTGTCCGTCAAACTCTCTGCTGCCTCTCCAGCCCCTTTACAGCCCTGTTTATTTATTATAAATATATTTTTTACAAGCCCCAGCTCCTCTTCTTGCCCCGCATATCCAGCTCCTTTCTCAGCTCCTGCCTCCCTCTCCCCTCTCCACCATGGGCTGCAGTACAAACAGACAGACAGACCCTGACTGTATGAAGGGCCAGGGACCCCGGGGTTTGGGGGTGGGGGAGGGCAGCAGTGGGAGGGGCTGTATGGAGAGGACCTGGGGTTTAGGCATTGTCTTTTCTCCTTGTATATAAGAATGTATATTTGATGCCTCATAAAAGACCTTGTGCTCACCTCCCGCCTCTGCCTCCTACTTGTGCCCCCTCCCCCATGATGGAGCCCCTGGGAGAGAGGCCTTAGCCCAGGGAGGTGAGGTGCTGATGGTAGAAGCTCAGGCCACTGGGTGGGTGAGAGGCTTTGGTTGGGTGGGAGGTGGGCGGTGAGGGAGGTTTTCCTGTTTGTTTCATTAACAGTTTGCATAACAGAGTGGCAAGGGTCTGGGCTTTGGAGTTGATACAGTTCAAACGATAAGCCATTGCCGCATGGGGTTGTGATGACGGCATGAGGTAATGAGTGTCCGGCAGCTGGCATAGAGTAGGTGCTCAGCAAGTTAGTTCTCTTCCCTTCCTTTCACAGGTTGGATACTTCCTCTATGCCCATGGCATCTATTCTCACCCTTCCTGGGACTGGCCTGGCTTTGTCCTGGAGCCCTCCCCACTTCTCCACAGTGGGCCGCATTTCTGTCCTTGAGGGTATGGGTGGAGGGTTACCTGGGCCAGGAAGCCAAGGCTAGATACATTCATTATAAGAACTCCGTGTATGTACTTGGGATGTTAGATGACAAATAGCAGGGCTCCCTTTAGTTTACCAAGGAGGGGTCAGGCCCAGAGAAGGGGAGGGTCTTTCCCAAGTCCGGATGGAGGATCCTGATCTCTAGTCCAGGCTCTTTTCCAGTCCCCAAAGCTGCCTCCCTATGAAATGGACATGTTTCCAGCACCACTGATCATGTCCTGGGCTCAGCAGAGCCTAGGAAGAATGGGGGATGCTGGCTCTTGGTTAGGGTCAGCAGGGTCCCTGGAAGCAGCAGTCAATAAATATTTGGGGGACTTTCTTAGAGTGTGAAATGGCCACTAAGAGGGAGCAGTTTGGATGACCCCACATTTTCTTTCTGAGGCCTTATTTCCCCCACCTTATGGATGGCCCCACTCTTGAGTAGCTGAGATCAGTGTCTTTGTTTTCTTCCTCACATGCACATTTAAACAAAAGCAGCAGCTGGAGCCATCTAAGCATTTGGTACAGAATCAAATCCAATCAGACTTTTTTCGTTTCTTCTCTGGTGGACCAGGCTGGACTACCTTTGATTGTTCCCACTTCTCCCACCTTCAGCTTGATGCTCGTTTTTGTCTTCCCATAGCTCAGCTTTTAGCAGTCAGTCAGACTTGACTGTTGCCTTTGATGAAATAGGGATAATAATCTTGCAGGGCAGTTGTTAATAGATGGGAGTGAAATGCCTGCCCCTTTGCCAGACACACAGTCAGCTATTCTTGGCTGCCTACAGAAAAAAGTGCAAACCCCTTGCCTTGACTTTGGAACTATCTCTGTAATCCACTCATTTCTTGTCTACACTTTGGTCATCCACTCACCATTTCCTGAAAAGACCTGTATGTAATTTCCAAACTCAGTATTTTACCTGTGACTTCTCCCTGAAAGATGTGCTCCCCCCACATCCCTGATGAAGGTTTTCTCACTCTTATGAGATGGTCTTAAAGAACCCATGCCTCACAAAGTGTGCCCTTGATCACATTCTCTGGGATCCCTCACATCAGTATCTATCTTCCCCACTAGACCATAACTGGCACAGGCGTGACGCTGATCTGAATCACCTCTGTCCAGAGCATTCCCCAGCACAGTGCTTGGCATAGCATAGATGACACTAAACTTTTTGTTGATTTGAATGAATAGTTCTTTCTAAGCTAAATGTTAAAGTATCTTTGCATTGGTTGATTTATTGATTGATGCGACCTGCAAGCTTTCAGGCCTCTCTGGAACCTCCTCGTGCTTCTCTCAGCTCTCTCCTATCTTCTCCTTCTCCTCCCTTCCTCCCTGCAGTCCCAGCACTGGGCTGTCCCTGCCCCACCCTCACCCTCACCCTGGAAGCTCACCATCCAGACTTTGGCTCCTCACCTCCCCATTTCCCTGAGGACCTGAAGACAAGGAGTTAATTGGCCATCCTCAAACGTTTTACTGCCAGTCTTTTTGGAGATGTGGATGAGGAGGGATGACACATAACAAAAGACAAAGGTCCTAGAATCTCATGGAGTTCATGTCTTTACCCTAGACCAGTGGTAGCCTATAAGTCTTTCTGTGACGATAGAAATGTCCTATACCTGTGCTGTTCACTATGATAACCCCTAGCCACATGTGGCTGCTGAGCACTTGAAATATGGCTAGTTGCAACTGAGGAACAGAATTTTAAAAAATACGAACAGCCACATGTGGATACTGGCTACCATATTGGACAGTGCAGGACAAGACTTTCAGAAGCAGACAGCCTGGGGGGATAATGCCAATACAACATAAGTGCGGGCCCAGAAGGAAGCACAGAATGTGTGGGGGTGCAAAGAAAGGGAAAACTCAACTTGGGGCAGGAGAGAGGGGTCAGGTGAGCATTTCTGGAACTGTTCCTTTAGCTAAGTCTTGAAGGGTGAGTAGGAATAAGTCCAGGAAAGAAAGGCATTTGCCAGAGGGAGCAGCATATGCCTGGAGGTGTGTGAGTATGTTAATGTTAGTGGAATAATGAGAAAGGAATGGGAGAGGACAGCCCAGGTGGTGGGCATGGCACATCCCAAAGGAGAGGTGGGCAGTCCCCATATCCTCATTCCTCTGTTGCCAACAGATTTTCTCACCCAGGTCTTGGGAGCTAAAGAAAGACCAGGTGACATGTTGGGCTACATAGTATCTCTGTTATAAAGCTATTATTTTTCCCTTTGTAAATAATGAATGATTATATTGAGGGGAGATGCATTAACATCATGTATTTGTCTTGTTACTCCTCAAACTTTCACCCACCAGTTTTAGCATTCACTGATGATTCTTGAGGTGGCCAAATGGTGACTGTCCAATGCCGTCATTCTTTGAACTTCTATTAGTTGGCTCTCCAGTGTAAGGGAGAGCTTTCCCTTTTCCTATATTTATGTATCTATAGTCTCATGGACTCATGGTTGTCTATAATTTCGGTGAGTTGTAACACATTAATGTCATTCTTTATCTCGATGTTCAAAATGTCCCATATTTAGCCTGCAGGAAGACGACTACTGTGTCCTTTTGACAGCTCTCCATCTTTCCTGAGCACTTCCTTATTTTCTGGTACCACAAGATGCTCCAGACTCATATTTTCCCTGACCCAGTCTTGGAATCAACCACTTTTTTCAAGGAGCTCTGGTTCTTTTTGGTTGAGAATGGCATTTAGAAACCAAGATTTGGGCACTAGGTGTTATATTAATAGCTTTGTTTTCAGGATTTGCTTTTTTATTTGGGAAAACTTTGAGCATCTATTGATGATTTTCTAACTCCATCATTCTTTGAAGGAAAAGTTTTTCCTTTTCCCTCATTTTATTTATTTATATCAGTATGGAGTCATGGATTTTTATTTTACTCGAGTTATAAACCACTATTATCATAATTCATTTGGGATTATCATTGTTTTGAATATCATTTTTATTGTTATGCATATATATTGAGCACATAATATACATCTCCCTCTCTATCTACCTATCTATCTATAAATCTCCACGAACTCACACAGAGACCTTGATATCTTAAGGAGGCTCTTTTAATAACCTAGGATAGAAACAGTCAATGGCTCTCTTGGGGAGTAGAAGATTAGAAAAAGTCATGGGGAAGAAGGGATAAATTTCAGAGCTACTTAGGATTTAGAACTTGTAGCTCATACCTAC